TTGCTAATATTATGCTTTAACATGGTTATTATGATTATCATGATTGTTATTATGATTTTAATTATTATTTTGTTATTATGTTGCTTGATATATATTTATTGTTATTTCTTGATCACGCCTTTATGCATGTTTAAAGGGAATTTGTACATGTAATCACGCTTAATAAGATAATTAATAATCTTGTTTAGGGTTAATTTGATTATAATTCAAGTGATCGCCAATAATAGTTTATTTGTGCATTATATTCAACCAACATAGATAAACAGGTTTAGGGTTAAACCGACCTATTGATTGCATGTTAGTCAGAAAGCACACATGAATACGATCAGAATAAAGTAAAGGCCTATTATTAGGGCAGGTTCAATCTCTTTTAGGTTGAATTTGTACCTTCATCCCCGAACCCTATTTGGTTCAAGACCTTATGGAGTTGACGATCTCTTGGATCGTTAAGGGGTGTATCCTTCACCTCATGAACGGTTTACAAGCTCCTAAAACTTGTTGGCGACTCTTTTGCTCTATCTTCTTTCCCTTTGGACGCCACCGTACTTTAGTGTATGATCACAGTGGGGTTCAAGCTAAGGGATTAACGCTTGAAATATTCCCTACATGTTCCAAGTGCAGGAAAAAGGAAGAGTCTCAAGTTGGCCATGAGGCCAAAAATAAAGAATGAGAAGGCAGAGTCTGTTCCTTGTGTGGTTCTCAGTGAAGAGAAATTAGGTGCTCAGGGGGAACAGGGCACTTTGGAACAAAAGTCTATTGAAAAATCCTTTCCAACTAGTACAAGGTTTACTTCATTTAGTGCTCTCAACTCAATACTGGAATTAAAAGCTCTCAAGGAGGCTGTGAAATAGATGACAGACTCTCAGCCAGGCCTGATTCAACGTCATGAGGCTCTTGAGAAGACAGTGGTAGAGCTGGTGAAGATCTCAATAAAACTCACCTTATCCTTTCAGAAGAGTACCTCCACTTTATCTCAAGGGCAGGCTGATTTGCTGAAGAAACTGGAGGAGATGGTCATTGAAGCTGTTCCAGATGATGATGCAGCAGAAGAGAACCAGTCCTCTGCCCCTGAAGCCTAACCATCTTTCTGGCTTAGCTATAACTCTTTTGATCTTTGAACTTGGTTCGGATTGAACTTATTTTTATTTTGCATCTTTTGGGTCTGTGAACATATAAACAAGGTGTTTTCTTTTGTTTGATGTTCTGGAGGATCATCAGTTTGTTTATGTGATGTGGATATTGCTGCTTGCTTTAAGACTATTTGCATACTATTTCTATGTGCTTTGTTCTTTGCTTTGGACACAAACCATTTTAGAATGGTGTTGTGTTTAGATATATGTGTGTGCAATAATTTTGATGAAAGCAAAAAGGGGGAAAAGAAAGGCAAACTCAATTATTGATAAGCTCTCCACCCATCTGTGTATTGAGGTGTCAAGTTACTTAGTTCCTTATTTTCTAGTTCATTTATTTTTGTTTATTTGTTTTGTTTTTCTGATTGTCTCTTCTTTATTTTACTGGAGTTTGATTAGGTTTGCCATTCATAAAAAAGGGGGAATATTGTTGACCCTAAGTTTTGATGATGACTCAAAGGAACCTAGGGGGGAATGTTGTCATTTTATTGGAGTTAACTTTCGTTTGTAGCTATGTTGATGACAGGTTTATGCTGCAAAATACTGGAGTAAGAATGGAGCATGGAACAAGATCTAGGTCTGCTATGGAAGGATAAAGAAGACAATCAGAAGTCAAGTTCCTTGAGTGAGGAACTGAAGCTCCAAAGTCGAAGCTTCCCAGAGTTTCAAGAAGTCCAATTTAGTTTTCTGTATTTTAGGCCTCTTGTATTCATGCTAAGTATTTTAGAGTTTGATAGGATTTAAGTGGATTTTATTTAATATGATAAAGTTTTATTTTCCATATTTAACTTGGTTATTTTTTAGGAAATAATTTCGAAAAATATCTTTTATAAAATATCTTCTTGTTAAAAATATTTTCTCATTTTATTATGTTTATCTTTTGGAAAAATCGGTTTTGGAAAATATTGTTAAACGCGTGTTTTACTTTGTCAAAGAGGTTGAGAAATTTAAGCAGTAAAATCACTTCCTGTTAAAACGGTTTTACTTGCTACCTAAGCTCCAACGACTTGCACTTCCTAATTCTAAGGAAGTTGTGGCTTAATGGAGATTGAGGCAACATCAGTTTTAACTTCCACTATTTCTTATAAATTAACTTTGTTTTCTATTAAGCAAAACACACTTGAGCATTGCAAAATTCTAGATTTTGAAAAGAGTCTTAATCCACTTAAGTCCTTGAGTGTCTTAGTACTTAGCATTTAGAGTTTAATCTTGAGTTGTATTGGGTTTGAGTTTGGGTAAACTCTAGAGTGTTTATTGCTTTGAATGAAGCAAGGAGAAAGAGAGACACTACAAGAAAATAACCTTTTCGTAGCGATTATTTTAACCTTTAGTATCGATTGTAATTGCAACAAAAAGCTTTCCCAACGAATGGTCATTCAATACAATATCCCCCGTTGCCTTAGCCTTTAGTAGTGGTTTTCAATATCGCTGGGGTTGGTCTCAATAATCGATACAAAAAACTACATCCAATCGTGGTGATTATTGTAACGATTACAATCGCTATAAATGTTAACTCATTTTCTTCAAAAAAAAAATGCGTATGATCTTTACAAGATTCGAACATGCAACCTCAAACTTTTATATTAAATGTTTCACCAATAAGCTATGATATATTTTATGTATTCTTTGTCTAACAATATTTATATATCTAGTGTTGAAAAGGCTTTTCGTATCGATTTTTAGGATTTAGTGGCGATTGTAAATGATACGATTTCTCAAAATTATATAAATGTGTAAAAATAGTGTGGATATGTATTATTATGTTTTCTGTATCGATTTTATATGGGAAAACCATGGCGATTGTAAAAATGATACAACATCCTTAATTATTTCACAAACATACTTGCATATTGTAGCGAATGTACAATAGCTACGAAATAATCGCTACGAAAAGAGATTTTTCTTGTAGTGAGAGTTGAGAGTATTCAACTGGTTGAGGGATCAGTTGAAAGGGGACTTGAGTTCGTTGAGGAACTCGAGTTTAGAGTCTTAATTTGTAATAGGCTGTTTTCCCTATTCTTATTAAGAGTTGAGTTTAAAATCCCTTTTGGTCGTGGTTTTTCTTCTTGATTAGAGTCAAGAAGTTTTCTACGTAAAATATCTCTTTGCACTTTAAGTTTTTGTTTAAGTTTCTTTATTAATTCCGCAAAAGTACCCTATTTCCTTTACAATACAATTTACCCCCCTCTTGTATTGTTCATTCGAGTCAACAATGTAGTTTCTTCCTCTGCTATGGAATTACTCGAAGCAGGAAGAAGATGAAGAGGAGATAGATCAAGAGAGCAAAGAAAAGGGTTTTAAGCCCTATCAAGTTCAAAAAGAGGATGAATTTGGTGATTTGTGTAGGTCTGATTAGCTTAAGAGGGTTAAAGGTGGAGGTTAAAGAAGAGGATTGAAAACGAAGGAAAAGTAAATGAAGAAAGACAGAGGTAGTTGAGGAAGGGAGTTAATTGGGTGGAAAACTGTAGGAATAGGCCCCATAAACTGCTTAATTAGACAGAAATTATTTATGGGTAGTGCTACACAAACATTTGTGATATTACAGGTAGTACTTAATAAAATTTTTAAAAACGGATAGTGGTTCACAAATCCACCTATCTTTAGGGTAGTTTTACACAATACTTCTTTATCAGAACTTATTTGAACTTATCTAAACTTATTTTAATTTAACTGAACTTATCTAAACTTATTTTAATTTGACTGAACTTATATGAACATATTAAAAAGTATTTTTGTAGTAATAATTTAAACTTAGGTAACTCTTATCAGACTTTATTTTTATAAGGTGAAAAAAACATTAAAACAAGCCCTAAAAATAATTGTTAGGCTATGTTTGGATAACAAAAAATGGAAGGGAAGGGAAGGGAAAGGGAGGGAGACAAACTTCTTTGTTTGGATAATATGTTGGGGGAGGGAAGGGGAGGGGGAGGGAGGGATCCATTTTCCCTCCTACTTTAATAAAGACCACCTCTTAAAAATTGGAGAGATTTGGAAGGAAAATGGAGCTCATCATTTCCTCCACTTTCCTTCCTTCCCCTTCCTCCTATTTCCCTCCCTTCCATTTCCCTTCTAATTTAATTTGTTATCCAAACATAGCATTAAATTATACTCTGTATTTCGTATAGTAGACACTTATAGTTTGTTTGGATAAAGAAGGGGAAGGAAAAGAAGGAGAGGGAGGAGAAGAGGAGGGGAGGGAAAGGAAGGGGAGGGAAGAAGGGTGAGTTTTCCAAATCTTTCTATTGTTGGAGGAATCAATTTATTGCAATTTAATCATTTCATTTCTCTCCCTTCCAATTCCCTCCCTTCCTCATTTGTTATCCAAATGAAAGATACTCCATCTCTCCATTTCTCTTCCCTTCCTTTCCCTCCATTTCCTTCAATCCAAATACACCGTTAGGTATACCTAGGGGTGAAAGTAATTCGGATTGAAACCAAACCAAACCGAAAACCAAACCGAATTAGTAATTTGGTTTGGATTTTTTTTGAATTCGGATTGGATTGGTTTGGAAAAATTTTAAAATATGGATTACGGATTGGATTCGGTTTGGGGTTTAAAAAAAACCAAATTACAAACCGAATTTCAACCCATTACTTTAAGCCAATTTTCTTTTTCAAAGTATCCAACTAATTTCTCTTTTCATATATAAACTACTCAAAACTATTCTATTCAAATATATATATATATATATATATATATATATATATATATATATATATATATATATATATATATATATATATATATATATATAAACTAATAAAGAAAAACCCTAATTCTCAATTCTCCTTTCACAATATCTCACTCTCTCACAAAGAATGTAGTTAACAAGAAAAGGTTGAGTGATTGTAGGATTTTTTTGGGTGAAGTTTGGGTTTCGGGTTTGAATGTTGTAAAAGAAGGGAACAAATTTCGGTTTGGATTGGATTCTAATTTGAAAAACCGAATTAATTCGGTTTGGTTTGGTTTGGATTGGATCGAATTTTAATTCGATTTGGATTCGGATTGAGATTTCTGAAATCGAATTAATTCGGATTGGATTCGGTTTTGACTATAATCCAAACCGCAAACCGAACTTTCATCCCTAGGTACACCGCACAAAGATCATCATCGTCTCTTTTACAAGGCGCGTGTATAATAAACCGATTTCTTTTTCAGAATTCCTTCTCTGTTATCTGGATATTTCTTTCTCTTTCTTTTTCTTTTTTTTTTCCCTTTATCTTCATCCCATTTCGCCAATTTCGTTTCGATTTAAACGAAATTGAAGCAGCTTCAATAATCGGTTTCTGTGGTGGGCAAATTTAGGTAATTTAACTCTTTTCTCTCTCCTTTTTTTTCCTTTAAATTATGCGTTTTGATCTTATTTTTAATACTGATTTTGTTAAAATCTAGGTTTTTTTATCATCAATTGTTATTTGAATTTGTTTGAAGATTTTAGTATGAAGTTAGTTGTGCTAATTTTTCTAATTATTTGTCAGTAATTGACTGCTTTTGCTTATTTTTGTTATCAATTGTTATTTAAGAATTTATTTGATGATTTTTTTTTTATGAAGTCGGTTGTGTTACACTAATTTTGCTCATTATATTGTCATTTAATCGACTAATTTTGCTCTCGAAAAAATCAACTTAATTTGTTCATTTTAATATTTCTTGTGTTAATTTTGCTCACTATTTGTGTCAGATTTTTTGTAATTTTTATTTTCTAGTTTTAGATCTGTGTGATAATTGGAATTATCTCTCTCAAATTGGTGGAATTTTGCAATGATTTTTTGATGTACCTATGTGAAATTTCCTATTGGACAACCTATCAGTAGTATTTTAATTTGAAATTTAAGTTCTAGTTCTACAAATGGGTAGTAAGAGCATCTCCAATGGTATGGAGAAGGGACTTGCTTGCAAATTAATTAAAATTATAAGCATAAAGCTTACCATTGGAGTGAATTGTTGAATGTGGCTTATATGAGCAGCCCTGCTTAAACAAGCAATACTGCTTGTTTTTCTAAATTTAAGCATCTTCCACTTAGATCATGACACATGGATAATATAATATATTCTATTTTTTATTTATTTTTCTAGCAAGCTATAAGGGATTGTAGCTAACCATTGTAGTATATTGTAGCTTGAAATATATGAGCTTAAATTATTGATGTCACAAGGTGAGCTACAATCAATTGTAGCTTTCCATTGAAGATGCTCTAATATGCTAATAGTTAAATAGGCTTAAACTTCAACTGTTAATGACATAATAAAAATGTAGTTTTATTTTTAAATAGGCAGCACACCTTTACAACTGACCATAAGATAAAGATATATTCTCTTACTAATATCTTTAAGATTAATAAAGATAAATATATTATTCTACTAATAAGATCAATACGGAAAATATATCACAATACTTGTATGTCTATACATCTAGAGAATGTCTACAACAACCCTACATCTAGAGAATGTCTACAACAACCCATATAGCTTTGAAGATGTGGATTTGTGCCTTCAACACTTTAGGGTTCGTTTGGGATCGCTGTGGTTTTCTGTTTTTTAGTTTTTTGTTTTTTAAAAGTATATTATATATGTCACATAATGAATCAAAAAATATTTAGACTTATTAAAATCATGATAATTTTGAAAACTGACAACAGAAAAGTGAAAACACTTTTTTCTTGTTTCCTGTTTTTGGCTTTTAGTTTTCACAAAAACAGGAAACTGAAAGCCAAAAATGATGCCAAACAAGCCCTTAACCTTTTGGTTTCTATTACATCCTGCTCTTCCAACTTTTCAATTTCATGTTTTAGTTAACATGCTCGATTGTTTTCAGCAAGCTTTAACAATCATTTCTGCCTTCACCTTACTTTCTCTACATTCAGTCTCGAGTTTGTTGAGCTCATCCATATAGATGTTATCGCTTCACAATTTCATTGAGTCTCTGATGCAACTATTCGATATCAAACTTCAGTTTACCGGCTTCCCTTAGGATGGATTAGAACCCATTAAAATCATCATACGTAGTATTTCATATCAGCAAGGTGGGTGTCATGGAGCTTCTGCCCAACTTTGTCGATACCCTCTGAACAGGGGATCTTGAATTGACTCTGCTAAGTCTGCTAGTTGACTTTTTTCGATGTAGTCTTGCAATTAATCTTCATCTATTAATTAAGGACGAAAGAAAATTACTATCTGATGCTGCAGTGTTCCTTAATTTTAAGTGGTTATCTCTTTCCCTCATTGTCCAAGTTTATTGATTGTCATTCATTGATTTCACTATACTGGAAATGTTATATTCAGTTTTCAATAGGTCTTTTTATTGATCTATAGTTTATTAGCTCTTTTATGAAGACCTAATTTCATAATTTGCAACACAGGTTATCATGTCACACCTTCCGGTCGATATTTTAATAAATATTTTTCTTAGATTTCGGGCAAAATCACTGCTGCGAATCAAGAGTGTGTGTAAGTTATGGTATAATATTATTAAAGATCCTGATTTTGTTACTCGCCATTTTGAACAATCCAATTTGCAAATAGTTTTCAAAAACCCTATCCTACATTTGAGTGATTTTAACACGTTTAATAATGTCGTTGAATTGGATTATCCTTTCAAGGATATGGATGTTATTTATAAAGAGGGATCATTCTATAATGGCCTTCGTGTAATAGGATCATGTCGTGGCATACTTTGCTTATCCATGACTTACCATCCCTACACCATTATCTTTTACAACCCTACCACGCAAACTCACAAAATCCTTCCGTTTTTGCCCCTTAAGTCTCCCTTTAAAGACAATTGGAACCTTGGGTTTGGCTATGATCCCGTATCCAAGGACTTCAAGTGTGTGAGTATATTACAGTGGAAATCTTCTGAAGGTAATTTCATGAGTCAAGCTATGGTTTATAGCTTGAAAGCTGATTCTTGGAGACGAGGGGCTCATGATGTTCCGTACTATGATAGTCACTTTAGGTATTGTGTTGACTTTAAAGGAGCTTTGCACTGGCCGGTTGATGGTGATAAAATACTAGTCAGTCCTATAGTTTGCTTTAATCTTAATGATGAAAGTTTTAGCTCCTTGCCATTGCCCAACTATGATATAGAGTTCTACGTGCGTGTGCACATTGGAGTGCTTGATGATTGCTTGAGTCTAATGCTCAACGATTTTAATTATTGTGATGTGTGGGTTATGAAAGAGTATGGCATATCCTCGTCTTGGACTAAGCTGTTTAGAGTTTCAAAGCATAATATAGTTAAGGATTTGATGCCTATTTCTTTCTATAAAGAAAGGAAGATATTGTTGGCAAACTTCCTCCTCTACAATGTTGCTTGTGTGAATTTGCAAACTTTGGAGATAACAAATTTTGAACTCCCTGGTTTCGGTCGAATATGGAATGTGTATGTATGCCCGGAGAACCTTCTTTCGTTCAAGGATGTTGAAGATGGTCTTGTAGGGACACGGAAACTAAGAAGAAAGAACGCCGAAAGGCTAAGATTTATGAGAAAAGCACAAAGGTAAGCTTGACCTTAGGGTTTTTTAATAGCTTTTGCATACTAATTTATTCTCAGTCTTTGGTTAGATCATTATGTTAGTAGGATTACTCGATCCTTGAATTCTTACAAATATGTTTTATTCATTTATGTGAGAGTGACTTAAAATTTTGCTATACAGGTCTTTACAACACTTTGCTTCTATTCTGCAACAATATGATGAGCCGAATCCCTGATCTAATTTTGAGTCTTGACCCATGTCATATTGCTATGCTCAATTAAGTGAACGGATTAAAGGACAACACTATAGTTTATATTAGTTTGTCGTGTTCGTTATTTGTAATGATTTCATTTGGAACGAGCTCATATGAGACTATGTTTTTTCAACAATATACTTGAGTTGCAATGTTATCTTCCATTTATAAGAACCTTGAAGATGCAACAAGCTAACAAGGTACGTACATATACTGCCTCTTCAGGTACAATAGTATCTCCAGTGAGCACTTTACCTTGTTACCGTGCCTCAAGTTGTGCCTGTCTAGGAGACGAGTAAGCCATGGTTGAAATATTAGTGAGCGGTGGTGGTTTCAAGATAATGAAACACATTAATTAAAAAATTTTTAAGCAATAGGCACATCATGGTATCATTCTTTTTATCTCAAAATTATATTCGTCGTAATTGAGTCTGGGCTATCTCTTTATTTCCATTTACCTAATATTAACATACTATGTGTTAAAATGAGCTAAACTTGTTTTATCAATGTTATTAGAACTATCCCTCAAAAAAAAAAAAAAAAAAAAAAAAAGTGTATTCACATTCAGTAACATTATTTATTTAGTGTTTCTGACAGAACTTCATTACAATCAGAAATTAAAAGACTGTGATTTGTGACAGAGATTGCTAAAGAATGTTATAGATGGTGCATAATATGATGTGAACTGTTGTTTCTTTAGTTTATTTATAGATGGTGGGTCGAACTGATGTTTGCTCTAGGGTTTTAATTAATTATTGGGTGATTAATTTTTATCACTTAAAATTGACCATTAGCTATTCATTTCCGAACTGTCTGAACCTAACCGATTTCAAATACCAATAATTATGATCATCCTTAATAGTTAAAAACAAAGCGTAGCGCAATACAATAGCTACAGTACAACTCTCAACAAATCCAAAATTAATTCTTAAAATATTAGTGATAAGATTGTCACCTTCCAACCTTGATTTTGGGAGTTCAACCCCCACTAGAGACACATTGAGGAGATCCTTTACCCTTCTCCCTCACTCTTAAAGTATCTAACCCGTAAATATCGAACCAAAAAAACTGTGAGGGTTGAGGTATGATCAGGGTCTTTCTCCTTACCTTTAAAAAAAGACGCATAAAGGATATAGTTATGTAGTATTTTACATTAGAGGATTCAAGGGGGCAAATTTGTTGTACAATAGTAAAGTTGCTATTCTAACCACTAATTAGCCGTATGACTTTATAAAGTGAAAAAAATAATTGTATTGAATTTAAACGAACTATACATAATTAAAACATGATAATTCAAATCATATAATTTCAATTAAGTTAAATTAAATAAATTTTAGACAAACCAATTAAACAGAGGCAAAAGAGGATCATGGAATTCCAGGACTTCATGAGTGACTTGAGTTTGGTTTTCACCCCAACCCCTCATGTTAGGCCTCTCCTTCGCCACCACCACCAAAATAATAATAATAATAATAATAATAATAATAATAATAATAATAATAATAATAATAATAATAATAATAATAATAATAATAATAATAATAATAATAATAATAATAATAAAAATAAAAAAAAATTAAGCAATCTAGCTTAGTACTAGAAGTCTAGAAGACAAAAAAATATCTATTGATTAATACTTTACATCAATTCAAAAAGATACGAGTATAAATTTTTAATTAATACAACCAGTTTCTTGGTTAATAAAAATAGATATTTTGATTTAGTCATAACCTAAACAAATTCCAAACAGTTTTCTTCTGGTATACATGAAGAAAATTACATCAAAGTATACTAAATTACTTCTAAATTGCATTAAATCTTGCTAATTTCCAAGAGTGGAATCTAAAAAAAATACTCCGGAACAAAATCATCTATTGTCTAAATATAATTCAATTTAGTAGCCTTAAATGCACAAGCATGCAACGTTTTAGAGAGAGCGTGACGTCCAAGAGCTTTGTGATCGAACCCACAAGAGTGTACCTCGGGATAACGGTGCAACCCACAGTAGACGCCACCACACCGGCACATAAACCCGATCAATTTGATCCGTTTCTTGCACGCACCACATCGGTTAATAGAAGTCTCGGTTATTTTAGCCCTAGTTGAACCATTAACTTGCTTTTTCTTGGAACTATTGGCACGAAATATTGACTCCCAAAACAAGTTTTTGCCTCCGGATCGTTTGATTTCCTTTTCGATGGCGATTGATAATAGTTCTTGGGTTCTTTTCGGGTCTCCAAACAAACTTTGATGAACATTCTTGCTCTTGTTGTTGTCTTCCATTGTAACCTCTAATCGATCTTTAGTGAATACCCTAATTTTTTTTTTGTTGTCGATCTTATTATTCTTATAGGGAAGTAGCACTACTAGTCAATTTGTGGGAAACTAAATTCTAAAAAGATATGATTCAATCATTTAAACGTGTATTCCCTAATTCCCTTACTTCTTAAACGTGTTTAATTTATAGTAGTAATTATTTTAAAAAGGAAATAACAAAGAGAAAAATCTTTTGAGAAAATCTGATACTTCATAATATATTTAATCAATTAGGAAACTTGGGCAAAAATATTTCCTGTCATCAAGCCTATTTAAAACAGATGAGAATATAGAAGACCGACCTAAGCTAAATTTTAGGAAACTAAAATCAATTAAACTACACTATACTAAAAGCTAAGGAATAAATTAAAACTAATCTATAATGTCAATAAAAAAAAAATGTTATTCTAATACAAGTACGAGTTAGATTGCAACACCCATATTATTTTCTAGCAATATATGGTAGAGATTGCAACATTTCTAGCAACGTAAATTATATTGCTAGAAAGGTTGCAGAAAATCAGAAAAATATAATTAGAATTCCAAATAAGATACTAGGTAAGAAAAATTACCAAAAAAATAAAATAAAAAATAAATTTAAAAAAAAAAAAGAAAAGAAAATCAGCAAGAATTTAGACACATTGGAGAATTATAAAATAAGACATCTAAACTAATGCATTCCAAAAAGAGATATAATAAGAATCTAGGCAGAAAATGAGATAATTAAGAAGACAACCAGATACTAAAAACAGAAAATTAATATTAACTTTTTGGTTTTTAGAACATACGATTACATTACATAGCCAAGATACCGATGACAATGCACGGAATTTAAAAGCTAACAAACTACCAAGTTCGAAAGCTTTAACCTAATGTGAATATTTCTCCAATTAGCAATGTGCAAAATCATGGAGAAATTCACTTATGTTAATAATCTTAAGTAGTACTACTAGTGCCTTACAAAGCACGTACTACATTACAACCTTTAAGTTGATTGATTTAAGCAGCAATCCTAGGAACAGCCTTGCACACCAAAGACGATTTCATCTCCATAGAGAGCTTGAGGCACTCGGTCAAGTCAACACCGTTCTCGGTCGGAACCCACTTGAAGTTCTGAAGCATCTGAGCCAACCACAGCTGAGCAGTAGCCATACCCATTGCCTTTCCGGGGCAGACACGACGTCCTGCTCCGAATGGTGCGAGTCTAAGGTCTGAACCCATGATTGGTACATCCTCCTCCATGAACCTCTCAGGGTTGAACTCGTTAGGGTTTGACCAGATCTTCTCGTCGTGGGTGATGGCGTACATGTTGACCATTGCGGTGGTTCCGGCTGGTACGAAGTGGGGACCGACGTGGGTGTCGTGGATTGAGAGACGAGCCCATGATAGGAGGGGGCCTGGTGGGTGGACTCGGAGGGTTTCCTTGAGGATGGCTTGGAGGTATGGTAGGTTAGGGAGGTCTGAGTCGGAGACTTGCCTGTTGGATCCGACTACGCTGTCGATTTCGGCTTGTGCCTTGGCTTGAATGTCAGGGTGCACCACCATCCTTGCTAGAGTCCACTCTAGGAGGATTGCTACTGTGTCTGTTCCCCTGAAGATCATTTCCTGCATTCGTATATAAAGTAAAAAAAATATATTACTGTTTAGCATTTTGTTATATTCCGCACATAATTAATCAACTTCTCATACATATCCAAAGAATCCACTAATTAAACCGTACCCATTCATTCATAATCGTAAAATATATTTTTAATTTAAATGCAAGAAATTAAAGTTGAATTCACAAAATACTTGGCAAAAACAAAGATAAGATTTAAAACGAATAAGAACACAAATCCAATAAAAGAAGAACAAATACTTCGTATATACATACCATTTTCATCGATAAATGAACAAAAGTAAAACATGCAAATAATAAAACAGTCATATCATAATTCATCAACAACAAATTTAACATGAACAAATAATAAAATAAAGGGTAATGTTATACATAGCCCTTAGGGCTATATATAAGCATTGAATTTACTCTTGGAAAATGTATAAAGTTAGGAATCCATGACAAAAACATGCGCAAATCGGTGTAATTAGTGTGTTTTTGTCATGATTTTCTAAATTTAAACAATTTTCAAGAGTAAATTAAATGCTTATATGTAGCCCTTAGGGCTATTGGTATAGCATTTTCCTAAAATAAAATAAAATAAAAAACTCAAAAATAAGAATTTAAATCATACCCAAAGAAGAGCAATCATGTCAGAGTCAGAAAGCTTGTTTTCTCCATCTTCCAAATCAAGAAGAACATCAACAAAATCCTTTGAATCATCATCAACCTTATCACTCCTCAATGCCCTATGTTCTTCAATCACATTACCAACATACTTGTTCACTTTTCCAACTAAATTCTTACACCTTCTCCTAACACCCTGTAAATCCAACCATTTTAGAGGGGCAAAATGGTCACCCCAATTAAAAATACCAAGCAATTCATACCCTTCCTTAACCAACTCCTCAAGGTTATCAGCTTCCTCAGTTCTCTTACCAAAGAAATCGTAGCTCTTTCCGAACACGCTCATCATCACATTGTTCAACGATCCGAAATGCAATACATTTTTTATCTCAACGTTCCCCTCTTCACCCATTACGGTGTTGATTTGTTTGACCATCTTGTTACCAATCTCCTGACGGAATCCTCCGAAGTTGGAGATTCTTCTAGGACTAAAAAGATGAGTTGCGGAGATTCTTCGGAGATTCCTCCAGTAATCTCCGAAGGGTGCGAACCCCATAGCCCGATTAAATAAAAGCTCGTAAGCTGACTCCTTAATAGGACGATCAGCGAATTCGGAGCTGTTTAAAATCTCTTTAGCAGTCTCGGGTTCACTCGCTATAACGAAGCGAGTCAACCCGACTGAGAACGCCATCAAGGGCGTAGCCTTGAGGCTAGTGGCAATATTAGAGAGGATTTTGTGAGTCTTTTTGGAAGCGAAAACATGGCCGAGACCAATAAGGGGTAACCCTGTTGGACCGGGAATAGCCGAAGCGGACTTACCGTTGCCGTTTCGGTTATTCTTAACAGCGGAAAGAGACCATGCTAAGCCTCCTGGGTAGAGAAAGATGGTAAAAAGGGAGATAAATGCAGCAAATGAAAGGAAAATAGGTGCTGAAAGAAGGGATGATGCTGTTGGTAGTAAAGAGAAATTCGTTGCTAATGTTTCTAGTGACATTTTTTTAGGTTTTTTTGATGAAAAAAGAGAGGTTTTTAGGTTACAATATGAAGATGGAAGGATGTTTTGGTGACTTGAGTGAGGAAGTAGTAGTGTGAAGGGCACTTATTTATAGTGCTTGTAGAATTGTATTAGAGTGGCAAATAATATTATTTTATTATATAGTTTTTGTAAATGTATTTAATTTAATATATTGGGAGTTTAAACTTAAGAATATGAGGGAGTAGAAAATAGTAACGGTGAAAATGATGAAAGGTATCTTATGAATACTTATCTACTCTCTCTATTTGTAAAAGTTTTTTGCATAAGAAATCTTGAAATTATTTATAAAATGAGATACTCGTGATATTTAGATGTGTCTAATTAATTAAGTTTGACTAAGTTTATAAGATTTGTGAACACGGAGTATATCTATTCAAACATTATACATTTATAGTACCTTTATTTATGAAAACTGGATTCAATTATTTTTCATGTGGTCAAAATAATAATCCTAATTACCATGGGAAATCTCATTAGATTGATCTTAGTTAATATTTTCTAAATATCAATTTTTTTATAATTTAAAATTAGAAAATGCTATACATAGCCCTAAGAGCTACATATAAGCATTTAATTTACTCTTGAAAATTGTTTAAATTTAGAAAATCATGACAAAAATACACTAATTACATCGATTTGTGCGTGTTTTTGTCATAAATTCCTAACTTTATACATTTTCCAAGAGTAAATTCAATGCTTATATATAGCCCTAAGGGCTATGTATAGCATTACCCTTTAAAATTATATATAGCCAAATATATTAATGGTTAAACCCACATTGGAGACTGCGTAAATACAAAGTGAGTCGATATTTGAATTTAAGTTACTTAATTTTAATTTATTTCAGAAAAAAAAATGAACTCAAATAGTCCAAATAAATTAAATTTAAACTAAACATGATAAAATAAGCTCATATAAAACAATTTCAGACAAAACCAAATGAATCAATTAGAATGTTTCACAAAAATGAGTTCATAAAAATCAATTGAATATAGCAATTTTTTTTTTTTTTTTTTTTTTTTGGACGCAAAGCACAATCCTACAAGAGCAGAATATTTTTCTTTAAACAAGTAGTTATGAATAATTAATAAGTATGTACTACATTTTTTTACCAAAAAAAATGTACTACATCTATTTCTTTTCAATTGATGTATTTTGACTTTTAATTTGAACAATATTCACATAGTAACTTTGACCTTTATTTATGATTAATTGTTAATGAAAAATATAGTCATAAGGGCTATAATTAGATTCATTCGTTTCAAAGTCAATTTCCGAACAAATTACAATTGTGTGCATTGAACATTTATAGTGTAATTGTTTCAAAAAAAAAACATTTATAGAGTAATTTTAAGCAAAAAATTAGGGTAACTTTAAAATTTATACTTACCTCCAATTTTTTTTTTAGTTGACAACAACACGTATTTCTTTTTAGTTGACATGTTTTCTTTTTGATCAAGTTTATACCTTTTTTTTAGTGTACTCCACTTACTTTATCATTTTCTCTCATCCTCTCTCATCTATATGTGTGCCTAAATTGAACACGACAACTAAATGGAAACGGAGGAAGTATGATTTTAATATAAATAAGTCATGGCTCATGCGATAAGTTTTTGAAGGGTAAAATTTAAATATAACCAGTTAAAAAAAAATTATCAATAAACAAATAGATCACTTATATCTATATATATTAGGGTAATTCTTTATCACTTTAGGGTAACATTATGGATAACACTACAATGTACTTCAAGGAAATAAGCAACTAAAATGAAAAGAATTAAGTACAAAGTAGTCATATACTTAGTTCTAATGTCATGTACTACAAAATTTGATACTCTGTGTTATACATTTCCTCTCTAAATTAAGCTTGCTATATGTAATTTGATTATATTTTTTGCATTGTCATCATGGATTAATTGGGGTAGTAACCTAGTAGATTAATAATTTAATATAACAAATGACTGGTAATATAATATGATTGGTAATATAATATGATTGGCTAATTAAAATTGCTTTATCTCTGATCTTCTGCAACAATTAGAAACCATACATTAGTGCATGCAAGTATATAGGTCAAAATCAAAGAAAACATGCATTAATGCATGTAAGTACATAGGTCAAACCAAAGTCTTTTTTGCAGATTACTTTGAGTATACCACACAAATTACATGCAAGGAAAAAACTTTGAAAATATACAAAACAAAACTTTGGAGAATTGGAGTACAATAAACCATTGCATGTAATGTACAACTTTAAAAAGGTAATAATTCCAAAACTTTGGAGAATTGGAGTACAATAAACCATTGCATGTAATGTACAACTTTAAAAAGGTAATAATTCTTGGATTGATCACTGTGTGACCACCAATTTTATAGAATAAAAATTTACTGTATACAAGTTGCATTGATTAAGGCCAAATTAACTGAGTTAAAACACTTACAATTTTAACCCTTAAATTTGGAATATATATGACATACATTGTACTTTATGCTTTATTTACCAGTGTTTTTTTTTTTTTTTTACTTTTCTATATGACATCATTACATATCTTGTTAGTTATCTAATATAGTTAGAGTTTTCAATATAACTTTATCAATATTGATCAATGGAAAGTTTATATTATTTGACACTATGTTTTTTTTAAGTGCCTCATTTTGACTTTTGCAGTATACATTTTGACCAATATTATACTTAGAATTGAGACTATTAATTGTGGTTCAAATTAATTACATCTAACAAACTACAAACAATTTTATAAGTATATGTCATTAAAAAAAAAGTTTATATTCATTTTCATAATGGCTTAAAAATCTAAACAAATTCAGAGTGTATATTATATATTATATTGTATTGCACGTATATTGTACATTTGTATATTATATGTATATATATAAATCAAATAGATATTTGAATGATCAACTAGCTTAGTTGATTAAAGTCTTGAGGGGTGTGGTACTTAGACCTATGAACAAATCCAGTCTGCATTTTGATCCCTTGTAGCTTCCTTTATACAAAAAATAAATAAATAAATAAATAAATAATAAATAAAATTAAAAAATTAAATAAAATTGTGTGATAGATATAAATATATATAAATTGCTTTAAATTATTTACAGATTATTATAAAACTTACTTCTTTCTTTATCGTAATATTAATGATTTCAATGTAGGTATGTATACTTTTCGAATATTAATTTTTTGAGTATAATTTATATGTATTGCCGATTAAAGATATAATTGGTCAAAGTTATTAGCTAAAATATTTTATTTTTAATTTTTCTCTGATAATCAAGCCTCCTTCGTATTTTATTATATTCTTAGTTTATTACTATTATTATCATTGTTTTTAGTATTAACTCTCAAGTCACAATTAACCACAAATTCTTCTTTAGTTATCTTACTTATCTCTTTTGAGAATTAAGTTAGAATATCTTCTTTTGACGGCTAAAAGACATAATTGAAGCCATATTTTAATCCCGACTCTATTGTTGTGATTTTTTAAATTTATTAGAATTTAAATAATATTAATTTGTTGGTGACTTGGTTCTTTATTTTTTTACATTATTATAATGACACGCATCTAACTAATAAGTGATAAATTTTCCCTTCAAAAAAAAAGTGATAAATTTGAGAGACTATACTCAGCTCTTTGAAAGCTCTACTGCAGTTATGTGAAAATTTAAATATGTTCCTACAGATATCATGCTTAAAAGCTTTAAGACTCAACCATAAGATTAACATGAGATTTATTTACTTAAATAAGTTAGCTTGATTTCTACAAATTTGTGTTATTGGGTTGGTATTTATATTTATGGTGGGTCGAACTGATGCTTGCTTTAGGGTTTTAATTAATTATTGGGTGATTAATTTTTATCACTTAAAATTGACCACTAACTATTCATTTCAGAACTGTCTGAACCTAACCAATTTCAAATACCAATAATTATGATCACCTTTAATAGTTAAAAACAAAGCGTACAATACTTTACACCAAATACAAAAAGGATATAGTTATTTTACATTAGAGTATCTTGGGGGCAAATTTGTTGTACAATAGTAAAGCTTTCTATTCTAACCACAAGTTAGCCTAAGGATTTGTGTTACCGTATGACTTTATAAAGTGAAAAAAACAATTGTATTGAATCTCTGAATTTTAAACGAAGTATATATAGATAATTAAAACATGACAATTCAAATCATATAAGTTCAAATAAGTTAAATTTATTAATAGAATAATCGACAAACTAATTAAACAGAGGCAAATGAGGATTATGGAATAGAGGGATGGTTAATCCCTCCGTCCCCGGCAGGACTCCAGAAGTGACTTGAGTTCGATTCTCACCCCCAACCCCTCATGTGATAGGGCTCCCCTTCACCAGTTCACCACCAAAAAATTAAAAAAAAAAAAAAAAAAAAAAAAAAAAAAAAAAAAAAATCAATCAATCTAGCTTAGTACTAGAAGACAATATACTAAATTACAACCAATTCAAAAAGATACGAGTATCAATTTTTTATTAATACAACCAGTTTCTTGGTTAACAAAAATAGATATTCTGATTTAGTAATTACCTAAACAAATACCGAACAGTTTTCTTCTGGTATACATGAAGAAAACTACATCAAAGTATACTAAATTTCTTCTAAATTGCATAAATCTTGTTAATTTCCAAGAGTACATTCTAAAAAAAAATACTCCGGAACAAAATCATCTATTGTCTAAATATAATTCAATTTAGTAGCCTTAAATGCACAAGCATGCAACGTTTTAGAGAGAGCGTGACGTCCAAGAGCTTTGTGATCGAACCCACAAGAGTGTACCTCGGGATAACGGTGCAACCCACAGTAGACGCCACCACACCGGCACATAAACCCGATCAATTTGATCCGTTTCTTGCACGCACCACATCGGTTAATAGAAGTCTCGGTTATTTTAGCCCTAGTTGAACCATTAACTTGCTTTTTCTTGGAACTAGGGGTGTACACCGGTCCAAAACCGGACCGGACCTGTTTGGACCGGGGACCTGAATTGGGTAATTATGAGGACCGGGGATCGGACCTGAATTAACAGGTCCGGTTCCGGGCTAGACCTGAAAAATCAGGTCCGGTCTGGGTTTGGACCTGAATGGACCTGTTTTGTGTCTTTTTCGTTTTTTTTTTTTTTTTAATACAAAACCTGTTGGACCTGCATATGGACCTGCATATGGACCTGTTTTGTGATTTTTAGACCTGTTGCATAATTTAATAATTA